CAACTTCGACATCCCAATAGCTACGACAATAGGATCAAACGACCTGTTGTCAAACGATGCTTTGTTTTTGCAATGCCATGTTGCCCTGCAGAGGGAGGCCATCACAGTCAGCTCATCCTTCGAGACTATATCACACAACCACAACAACCTTGTGGTGAATCTCTCACTTGGGGCTTGTTCAATTAAGTCCCTGAAATTGCTTGTTGCCCATATATCTTTAGCAGCAGAACAGTAAAAAATGGCGTGGATAATAGACTCCTCTCCATTCCCACAAATTGAACATGTTTTATCCTCAATCAAATGGCGATAAGCAAGTCTTTCTCGAACCGGAAGCAAGGAATCCCTTACAAGCTCTCCAAAAGAAATGTCTAAGTTTGGGGGGGGGGGGGATTTAAATTCCAGATTACCTTCCGATCCAAACCTTATCCCAAGTATCTCCATTATCAACATACCCGCCATTTTTGCAAAGCCAATACCCAGAGCGAACACTATATTCTCCATTTCTATTAGGCCACCAGTAAATGGTATCACTCGGAGATCTATTAAACAGGGGAATCGACAGAACAAGAGCCCGTTCATCAGTAGTAAAGGTGTTGTGCACTGCTTCAATATTCCAGGAATTACAAGAGTGGTCAATCAAGTCAATGACCCTTAATTCCATTTCACTATCTACCGACGTGGCCGGAAATAGAGAAGAATTATTTCCCGGTCACCAAGCATCCCTCCACACATTAATCGCACTCCCGTTACCAACTCTCCATTTCAACCCATTAAGAAACAAAGATTTAGCACTCCACATACTCCGCGAGGCATAACTAGGATCAAACCCCACATTTGGCTTTCAAGAGATCACAACTCTTAAAATACTTTGCTTTAAGGACTAAGTGCAACAAAGATCCCGTGTTATGGTGAAGGCGCCAAAATTGTTTGGCAAGCAAAGCATGGTTAAAGCACCGGAGGTCTCGAAAACCCATACCTCTCTTGCCCTTCGGTTGACATAAGAGATCCCATCTTTGTCAATGCCTCTTTCGAGGTGTCAGCTGAACCCCACCAAAATTTTGCACGAAGGTAGTGGAACTCATTTATCAAAGTGTCTGGAATTTTGAAGATACTCATCATGTATGTTGGAATTGCTTGAGCCACAACTTTGATAAGTATCTCCTTTTCCAGTCTCAAAAGCAATTTCTCCTTCCACCTTTGTAGTTTCTTCCATAACCTTTCTTTCAGTCTTGCAAAAATCACCTATTTTGATCTTCCAATGATAGTAGGAAGGCCCAAATATTTTTCATGTCTTTCCACCTCTCGTACACCTAAGATATCAATAATTTCCTCCCTCCGAACAGTACTAACTTTTTTTTCTAAAAGTGACCTCGGTCTTGCTTAGATTGACTTTCTGACCCGATGCCCTCTCATACTTACTGATAATTATATCACCTATAACGAAGTATTCTTGCACATTGGCTCTAACAAAAAGAATAGTGTCATCGGAAAAAAATAAATGTGACACCCAAGGAGCCCCCATACATATCCTAGCACCATGAATAAGGTTATTTGTAGCAGCTTTGTTTAATAAATTTGAAAAGGCATCAGCGTAGAGTAGAGTCACCCCGTCTCAACCTTCTAGACGGAGTGATAGAACCCGAAATATGGCCATTTATCTTGAATGTGAAGTTGACACTATCAAGACAAATCCTTTATTCTACTAAATGCCTATTTGACTCGTTCGTTAGATTACTCCACCCAACTAAATGCCTATTTGACTAACCTTTTGATTGAAAACAAAACTCTAAACTAACAATCTCATTCTAAAACTCTATCCTAATTTGATTGAAAATAGAATTCTTAACTAACTTTTTTATCTTATGAAATCTATTTTAAATATGTCCAAGGTGGCGCGACACTTGGTGAAAAATTGAAATGTCAAGTGTCGTTATCTCGTGACATGACTAAAAGTTTAGCTTTATATATTAGTTATATGATATGGCCATAATACCAAATTTAGGTTAGTAGTAATCAATAGTTATATGTGTGCATGAATAATATATGACTTTTAATAAAACATGTACCCATAATTTCATGGAACATTTGCATTATGTCATTATGTGAAATACTTTATAGATATCATTAATTCAAGAAACTCCAAATCAAATTAAATATATCACATGGGAATAAACATGACATAAATAATAATAATAATAATAATAGGAGAGGAATTTGGGAGTAATTACCATCCGAAAATTAAATTTTCATGGGATTTGTATATAAATCAATAATAACATAATATTGTATATGCGTACCTTTAATTGCAATATATACACACACACACGTGAGAATTTTTCTTATGTGAGAACACTCTTTATGTTCTAAAGTTTAAATATGATGTTCTAAATTTTTCCTTAGGTGTTCTAAATTAGATCAAATGTTCTAATTTAGTACTCACATGTTCTAAACCATAAATTAGTTAAGTTTAATATCATAAATTTTAAATAACTTGTTCCAAAATTTTAACTTATATATGTTTTAAATTTTAAAATGTGTGTTCTAAGATTTTTAATTATATGTTCCAGATTTTAAAGCATATGTTCTATTTTTTAACTCATATGTTCTAAATTTTTTACTCACACTTTCTATACTCTATATCAGTTTGTTCTAAATTTTTATTCACATGTTCATAATCTTAAATCAGATGTTAAAAAATTTTACTCATATGTTTAAAATTTTATAAAGCAGATTTTATAAATTTTTAATCACTTGTTCTAATTCTTAAATCAAATGTTCTAAACATATTACTCACATAGATGTTCTAAATTATTACTTAGATGTTTAAAATTTTAATTTCAAACACATGTTCTAAATTTTTAATCATATGTTCTAAACTTTTAGTCACATGTTCTAAATTTAAAATCTGTTCTCATATAAGTATGTTCTCACTGAATCCCTCCCTATAAAGGGAAGTTTTTAAAGGGTCATTTAGGACTTAATTTTTTCAGCGCGTCATATAAGATAATAAACTTTAGTGGTAGCCAATTAAATACAAAATTATTAGTTTCTTTTAAAATTGAATAATTTAAATGACACGTAAGAAAAATTGGCGAATGAGATTTTTCAGTTTAAATTAATTAAATATAAATATTATCTTTTGGTATTAGAAATTTATCTAAATATATAACAAATTTAGCATATAAATACTACCTCCGTTAAATGTTTTATGCAACTTTTGTCGTTTCGGGATGATCAGGGTTATGTGCAACTTTCCTTTTTCTTTCTATTTTAGTAAATAAAAAAGCTGGAATTTACTTTTTTACCCTTACTTATATTTTTTTTGTTAATCACTACCCTTATTATCTCCTAATTTCATTAACCTAAAACTAATCAGATTCCCTAACCTAATGATTCCCTCCCTTTATTTTCCCATCTCCCTCCTTCTCTCATCATTTACTCACTTCCCCAACCACCAAAAATTAAATTCTGATGGTTGGGTTTCCCTTTATGTTCTTGATTGTTCTTCAGAAGATGAACCCTAGTTCATCGTCTTTCAGTTTCTCTCTCCTCTTCTTCTTCGATTCTTCATCTTCCTCTCTCCAGATCCACTCTTCACCACTCCAATTTCTCACCAAAAGAGTCCTCCACGAAAATGGTTAACCTCGATCCTTTGAAAGACGCGTACATGGCCACAAATGATAAGGGTGAGGAGAACTTGATCCAGCACTTCATCCATTGCTTTGAGACTAGCAACCCTTTCCCTCGTGAGTTCTACGAGTCTACTAAAACCGGTCCCTACTGTACTTTGTACACCTACAAAGCTTTGGGTCAAGTTCTAAGGAGTATGGAGGAGGAGGAACGACTGAAGATGGAGCAGAGGAAAGTTGTTCCTGTAGATATGGTGGCTGAATCTGCTGCTCCTGTAGATCTGATGGCTGAATCTGCTGGTCCTGTAGATCTGGTGGCTGAATCTACTGTTGGGAGTGTTGTGGCTCCCAAAAAGGCCAGATCTAAGAGGCCAAGGTCACCCCCCAAGGTCCGATCTTCGAGGAAGGCGGTGCGTGTCGCTCTTAGGAGGATGCGTGGGCTTCTAGACCATGAGTACATCGTTCTTTCTTCTGATGAGGATGAGGAAATGGAGGAGGCTTCACCTACTCCTCCCAAGAAAACGGACTCTGATTGCTCTTCAGTCCCTGTTGTCAAATGCTATGTGAGGCGGATGAACCGTTCGGTTCAACCCTCTAAGTGACTGCTTTCGTAACGATTCCTAACCCTAACCTCTTTAATTTTAATTTATGAGTCCCTCAATTATGTTTGTTGTTCGATTTTTAATTGATGCTTGTCTGGTTGACAATGTGTTGTATGTATTCCTTAATTTAAAAAAAAAAAAAAAAGGGGAACAAGGGAGTATGATTGATGAATGATGAAAGCTGAGTATAGTTTGGTGTCTTTCTTTGGTTGTGTGATGTATACAATGTTCTCAATGATCATATCGTGTAGAGAACAATGGCTCTAGTTTTGTATTCACGTGTGGCAGTGCATGAAAGAGTCCCTCCCTTTTTGTTATGTGCAACAGTGAAGGTATGGAGTCCCCCTTCCTGTATGAAACACTACCCTAAGTTACTTCTATGGTCCATATGATGAAGGGACTCCAATGAATTTCACTTCACACATTAGTCTTGCTCCAATAATCTCTTGTTTGAGACTGTTGTTGAGGTAACAATGTTTTGAAGTGTAGTATTCAAAATCATTTAAGACCTTCTGATGAACTTGTATTTTCACAACCCAACAAAAACTTTTTTTTGTCATTACATTCATAGGGTCATTACAAAAGTTGATGCACATCATCAAAAGACTTTACATTTGACTGCCTAACATGTTAGCTCAATGTAAATCAACAAAATACACCTAACCACCTATTCATTAAGCTAAACAAAATTAAAAGAAAAATAAAAAGTTAAGTGGTTATGTGTGGCAGTCCATGTTGTCATTGTGCATTACCTGCTTCCTTGGGGTCCCTAATCTGCATCCACCTCCATATCTTCTTCTGCTTCTTGAGTCCCTTGAGTTGCTGGCCTAAACATTGTGTTTAGGTACTCTACACTCCCTAGCACTATGTCCCTTTGCACCTCAACCTTGTCTGGCAAAATTCCTAAATTTTCAAGCTTCTTTTTGTTCATGTAAGGAATTTTGTACTTGTTACCCCCCTCTGCCTGCAATATCATGATCATGCACTTTTGCAAAGTTATCCATATGTATTTGTTCACCTCTGGTTTGAATGTTTCATAACACTCAATCAACTTCTCCACTAGCTCATCTAGGTTGCTAGGAAATGATTGGTATTGCAGTGACTGAATAGACCTGAACAACCTTAAGTCTAGCACATTCAAATCTGGTGACTGTGGTGGCTGAAACACTAGTTGAATGTTGAATCCATTTGCTGTTGTTGCTGCAATGAATTCTTCATCTCTTGGTATCTGGTGTGGCCTTACATTGTCCCACTGTATTGTGACATTTTTCCTTAGACTTTCTGGCCATTTTGAGATGATTGATGGTATACTTTTGTGAGCAACATCTCCCTAATCACCTCTCTATTCACATTTTGGACTGCCTTGGTTTCCCATGTTCCTACAGGCTTGTTTTTGCTTGATTTCTTTGCCTGATCCTTCACTGTAAAAGGAAACATGCCATATTTCCCATCATGTAGCAATACCCCATGTGTGTCATACAATGGCTTCCCCACTACTGCCATAAACATTGCCTTGAGTTTCAATCTTCTTGATTGTTGAACTCTATGTGGATCTTCTTCACTTGGAAGGAGATAAAATCTCCTTTTATCTGGATTGAGATAGAACCATTTCTCATCTATGTGGATGATATGGTCCATATCTTCAAATGTAGGGTCTTCATTTCCAATGATTGGATTAATGTGTGACATAATCCATTTCAGTCTTGCAGCTTTGTGGTCACTTGTGAGTGCTTGCTTGTTGCTGCTTGTATGTGTTTTGAGCCTGCCTTTTTTTTTTTAAGTTGTGAATAGTAACATGAGATATCTTCAAAGCAGTTGCATAACTCCTCTCTGTCTGCCTAAGGTGCAGAGGCACTGACTGTAGGAATTCATGAGTAAATTCCCTTGGTTTAGGCCCAGTTCTGCCAAACTTCTTGGACCTGACATCAATCACATCCCCTTGTTCCAACTGTTTTTTTATGTCCTTGAATACCCTTGTGATTGTTGATTTGTGTACATTGAATTTGATTGATAATTCTTGCATGTACCCTCTAGGTAAGTTACCATTATGCATTTTGAGTAAGATTACATCAACAACCTCTCTCTTCTTGTGCAAAGACAATTGTTTTCTACTTGAAGGTTGTGTGTTGCCCTGATCTTGTGTTTCTTGCTCCCCTTGTTCTTGTGTTTATTGCTGCCCCTGTTCTTCCATATCTTCATCATCAGACTCATCATACAAGCCATAATCTTGCATGTGTTATTCATAGTCATAGTAAAGCTCTGCCAGTTCTTCCTCACTTAACAATTGCTCTGCCAGTTCTTCCTCACTTAACAATTGCTCAACATCCAAAAAAACCTCTTCTTCTAACTCTTCCATGTTGTGTGCTTAACTTGAAAATTTTCAGCTCAACGTTGATGAAACAGGGCTGCCTGCTGGTTTTTTTTGTGAAGAAGGGGTTGTCTTGTTGGAATCTATGGATGATGGAGGTGCCAAGCCAATGAAGCGTCTATTATGTGAAGAAGATGTGCAGCACTGACTTTATTTAGGATAATTTTTTGGATAATTAGGGTGTTAATTAATGTGTTTATTGCTAACTTTTGAAAACAAATGGTGTAATTTTGAACAATTTCATGGCTTGTATTTTGGGGAAAACATTGAATGCACTTGTATTAAATGAGGCTGCTTTTATATGCCTCTTAAATGCTGAAAATTGAATGATAAAGTCTGTTTTTTTTTTTTTTGTAAAAACTAGTGGGAGATTTGAATCTCCAAAAATTTCAAATTGTTTGAAATTTTGGTGAAAATTTAAGAGGGAAAACTCTTTCCCTCAAAAGTGACAGATTTCCCCACTAAATTGCAAGTGGGGGGAGGGGGGGTCCTACTTTCTCTCTCCTCAGCTTTTATTAATATCTCTAAACTTCCTCTAATCTTTACCCCTTAAATTTTGCATTGTGAACCGCAAACCACTCAAAAGTTGCAGAAAACATTTAACGGAGGTAGTATATTAATAAAAAAATAATTTTAAAACATTCAAACAAACCGTGCATCGCACGGGTTTAATTGCTAATCTATTAGTCGCCACTAAACAAATTCCTTCAACTCGTATAGTTTTTTTTCGTGTGTTTTTTTGTGTGTGTGTTTAGAGAGTGGGGGTAAGAATCGATCCCAAGATCTTCTGGAACCGAAAAGAAAGCTCTAACCACTTGAGGTATCCCTAACCAAAATATAAAGTTTTTGCCTTGTCGAAGGAACTTCCACTATCAAATTACCCATCAAATTTCCATCATGAGAAATCAATTCTTTGCACTTAACCTTTAATAATTTAAGACAAGATTTCATCCTAGCCCACAAAATATAGTCTAGCGTAGTGTCAAAGGACAAAACATATGGTTTTCATATAGTATAGCTTTGTCAATTAATGCGACAAACAATAGCAAATTTTTCTATACTCCCCGTCCAAAAAAAAAAAATCTATACTCTGGTTAATTTAGAGCATTCCCAACAGTGAGGAGAATTTTGCTCATGAGCAAAATTGGTGAGCAAAATTGCAATATTAGCTTCCCCACCAATGAGCAAATCAAAATATGCTCATGAGCATAATTAAATTTGCTCATCCTATGAGCAAAAATGAAAGTGGATAGTGAATTCGTGGAGCCCACCAAGTGTACAAACTGTCATTTTTTTTTTGCTTTTGACACCCTCAAAACGACGTGTTTTGAGGTTTGGTTATGAAGACCTTCCCCCAAAATGACGCGTTTTGAAGGCAGCAAAGGAAAAAAAAAATTAATGGCAACTGCTGACAGGGGCGCGTCAGTCCAGCGAATGGGAAGCTGACACGCGTCCCTGTCAGCTTGTTCAACCAATCAGAAAATGTTACCGTTTTGCAACGGTAATTAAATTAAAACGGTAATTTGGCCGTTTGATAATTAAAAAAAAAATCATCAACGGTTATATATTTTTTTTACTCTACAAATAGAGATCCATTTTGACATATTTTGGTATAATTTCAACAATCACAAAAACACTCTATATTACTCTTAATCTCATTTCTAGTGAGTTTTATGTTATATTTTCCAATATAAAGTTGAGAAAGGTTAATTTTTTTTTTTTAGTTTATTATTTTTAATTAATATTTTTACTACTCTAATATTTTTACAAAACGTTATTAATGATATTTTAAGTAGCAATATTTTGTTTTACTTTAAAAAATCCAAAAAACTCTTTATTATTTTTACTCCCAAGTGTAGTTAGATTAAATTTTTGTTTTCTAATATTAAATTTTCATTTTCTAATATAAAAAAATATATACTTAATTACTTTTTGTAGTACTCAGAAATTATTTAAAACGTTATTAACGTTATTTTATTTTAATTTAGGTGTGCCTCTTAAGTATATATTGTTGTTTTTAATTTATTACACAATATAATGGATCCAAACAACCCTAATTACAATCAACTTGCTCAACATTTTTCTGATTTAGCTGATTGATTTCATAAGTAGTCCAAATTTTCAATTATTCCTAGAAAGATTAGGCAACCCTTCTTCTCAAAATTCCGTTCATCAACCAATACCTCCACAAATTCCCAACAATGAAAACACTTTTTTTGAGCAACAAACTCCTTCCGTTTCCGAAGGGAGCAACTCTGAGTACGATGTCAGCCAAGAAGAAGCTGTTCCGGAGACACCACAGTACCCTCCACCACCTCCAAGGATTCCGGCCAATCAACCACTTGCCAAAGCGAGTCGCATTTGGTCGGTTGCTGAGGATGAAGCTCTAATTGGGTTCTACCTAGAACTAAGTGATGATGCGCTTCGTGGTACGAGCCAAAAGGCATCCGAACTATGGCGAAAAGTTCATGCAGCTTACTGTAAACTACAAGCTGAGAAACCGCATATTCTCCCGCCAAGACCTATGAAGAGTTTGGAGACACATTGGAGAAGAATGGCAGCTGATTTGCTACAGTGGACTAATTGCTATGAGGAGGCGGGCAAACTCCCTGAAAGCGGAAGTGGTTACAACGAAGCCGATCGAATAAAACACGCTTCCAAGTTGTTTTATATCTCCTCTAATCCACAACATAATTTTGCATTTCCACATGGAGTGGAAATGGTTAATAAAGATCCGAAGTGGAGGACTAAACTAAGATGAGGTCTGTCAAAGGAGGAAAGAAAGGGTTGCGGTGCCGATGATGAGGAAGATAGCAGTGGAAGTGGGAAAAGGTCTAGGGCAGAGAGTGAGAATGAAATCCGTACTGATGGATTTATGTCCGAAGGATTACCACGACCAGACAGTGTCAAAAAAAAAGAAGGCTAAGCGTAAGGGCAAAACAGTTGCTTCTGAAAGTGCAATATTGAGCATTAGTGAGCAGATAAAGGTGTGTACTGAGGTTAGAGAAAGGGAGGCGAATTTACGACAACAACGGTTGGAACTTGATAGAGAAAAGGAAAAGAGGAAGCAAAAACAAGTTAATTTAGCAGAGAAGATGAATTTTGATATGCTTCAATCACTTTTAGCAAGGACAACACCACTCACTCCAGCTGAAGAGGCCCACAAGGACGAGTTACTTCAATTAGTCTACGGTAGAAATTGACTGTATTTCCTTAATTAGTTTATTTTTAATTAGTTGTATTATTTGGTTAGATTTGTTTAATTAGTTTATCTTTTATTAGCTTATCTTTATTTTGTTCAATTTTAATTAGTTTATTTTTAATTAGTTGTATTCTGAGTTTAGATTTGTTTAATTATTTTATCTTTAATTAGTATATCTTTATTTTGTTCAATTTTAATTAGTACTATTTTGAGGTTAGCTTTCTTTACTTAGTTAATCTTTAATTAGTTTAATTTTTATGAGTTGTATTCATGTCCCTTGTCTTATTAGACATTGAGTAGTCATATGTCTTTCATGTCAGTTGTATAATTGTATTTTGAATAGTCAAGATTCTTTTCTGTCTTACTATCTTAAGTGTCATTGAATTGTCAATCATGTTTCATCACTCATTGAATTGTCAATCATGTTTCATCAGTCATGGAACTGTCATTCATATTTTGGAGTTGTCATTGAGTTTTCATGCTTATAAATGATAGTGATACCATCTTATGCAAATATAATCCAACTCCTCAAAAATATCCAAACACCCAAGTAACCAGCAAACACAATGTTTTCCATTAGCTCAACCTCCAGCTCGTCTGATTCTGATCAATATGTTGAATTTGATCATTTAGTTGACGAATTTGTCACAACCCATCTACCAACTTTGTTGTATAACAACCAAACACAACCCCAACCCGTGTCCGATGTTGAATGTGTTCCAAAGCGTAGAGGGGATACGGATAGAAGAGATAGGGAAAAGGGGCATGTTCAATTATTTAATGATTACTTTGCAAGTAATCCAGTTTATAGCGACAAACAATTCCGGCGTAGATTTCGAATGCAACGACCTTTGTTTTGTAGGATTATGAACAAGGTGGTCGAGGGGGATCAATTCTTCCAGCAGCGTAGGAATGCAGCTGGAAGGCTTGGGTTATCACCGTTGCAGAAATGCACCGCTGCGATTAGAATGTTGGCGTACGGTACCTGTCCAGATGCGGTGGATGAGTATCTGCGCATTGGCGAAACTACCTCCAGATTGGCTTTGCAACATTTTTGTCAAGGGGTTATTACACATTTTGAAGCTGAATATCTCAGAAGTCCCACCGACGAAGATTTAA